AAAACTTGTGAAATGAGAAATGAGAAATTATCATTTTATTACTAACCCTTAATCTTTCGATGAATAACTGAAATTTTCACATGATTTAAATATTATATTAAAATCGAACATAAGAGAATTTTTTATTTTTTTTGAGGTTACGTAAGAGAATCTATCTAACATTTGCTTCGTATTTAAAACTTTCTATCAAATTTAGATCGAATCCATCCGCTAAATTTAGTTAATTGAGTTTTATATCATATTGTTCTTCTAATTTTATGATGAATTCGATATTTGCATATCAGTTTTATTTTATCACTTTTATTTCTGTATGGAGGTTTATTCAATTCCTCCTCAATAGGTTCACGTGTATGATTTCACGGAAAAGAAATGTGTTATTTTATAAGACACATTTTGTGTACTTTCATTCTTATAAAGAGATAAAATTCATATCTTTAAAAATTTTCCCACCCACTCTTTTTCTACGATCTATCTCTTTCTCTCATTTAAAATGACATAATTTTGTGTCTTTCAAAATGATATATACTTTCCCCCACAAAAATCAATTTTATTTAGGATTTTGATTTTAAAAAGTGATATAAATAAATAAATAAATAAATAAATAAATATATTGCATACACGTGTCGTGTTAAGCTAGTCCGGAGACCATCTTTCATTAGTTTCTTAACATGCATTTCTGCTTAACTCATGACACTTACAATGAGTTCACCTCCGACATTATAATGCCGCTTTAAGAAGCAATAAAGCAAGATAATCACCCCTTTCATTACAGTTTCAGCATTTAACGTAGTAACAGGACAAGTAAAAATAATCAAATAAAATACTCAATGTTACAAGCGGTAGAAGTTCAGGTACCTCAATTGGCACTGGGAGGAGATGTTATTAATTAACATCAACCTTTTAACATTATTGAACTACAGTTAAACCCATACGCGTATACTTACAAAAACTTGATTTTATATGTGTAATGAGTTATTACACAACCCATATATATAATTAAAATAATAATAATTTTATGTAAATCACGTTAATGCATAAGCTTATATATATCACAAATTAATAATTTTATATTATATGTTTTTAATATATCCCATCGTACAAGAGCCTATCAGACTTGAAAAATAGATAATATACACTCTATCTACTTGTGTTAAGAAATTTGAAGATTGAACTCATGATTGCTTTGTCGTATAGCTAGGCTCTATACCATGTAAAACTATTTCAACTCAAAAATTAAATAATTAAGCAATAATTACATTAACAATTTTATATTATAATTTTCTCACATAAAGCAAACATTTTATATAGGGCTTAATGTTTCTTATGTTGTAAGAGATAAATTTTATCTTCTATATACATATAAAAATATGTAGGACCCATATAAAGAGAAAGAGAAAAAAAGAAAAAATATAGGCTCTTTTATACGTGTATAAGAAATATTATATAATATATACTTCTCTACCGTTATGTTCTCCAACCTCCTTGTCTTATACATGCTGACATTTCATATTTTGTTCTCTTGTCAGATTTATTCGAATGGAACATCAAACCCAGGTTTGAAGGAAGACCGAGGGACCGAATGCTCAGAGTCCCTCTGTCTATTTGCCAATATAAATGTTGGCAGAACTCCACAATAAATATATCCTATAATATTTTTAAGGGTTTTCGTTTTATCCTTTAACATAACACAACAAACTTTCTTACCCTCACAATATTTTGTGGGGCCCACACTTTTTAAAACAAAAAAATAAATAAAAAATTAAGGCACGCAAAACGAATCTCTATAACATTACACAATCATTTTTCCTACAACATAACTCTTATAAAACCCTATTTTTAATGTATTGATGCAAAATAATAATGGAACATTCATGTTAGCACTACCCTCTAAAGTCATAAATTCGCCACAATTACAGCGAATAAACATATTCAGGAACACATTTTTACGATGCTACTGATAATTTACTTGCTATGCCATTTTGCTTAAACCTTACTGAGGAAGAATTATGAGGCGTAAAACAAAAATAAAAAAAAATATGCGGATTAAAAATTTAGGGCATACTATATTTATTTTCATATATCCACCATTTATGAAAATTTGTGTATTCTTTTTTTCTTTTAAAAAAGAAAATAGTAGTTATCTCGGTGGTGTATTTTAAAAAAGCGGAATTGTGGGGAATTCTCCGTGGTCTTGAGCTAGCTTGGGCTAATGGATTCTGTAAGATTAAGTTTTAAAGCGACTCAACGAGTGTTATCTCGGTGCTCACCAATAGTGGTGCAGCAGCCTGTGGGGGTCAATTGATCACTCGAATACGGGCGTGGTTACAAAAAGACTGGAGAATTAAGATTCAACATACTTATAGAGAAGGTAATGTGTATGCTGATTGGATGACAAACTATATTTTAGAGTTTAGGGAGGATTCTAATTGTGTTATTTGTACTAATCCTTCTCTTGGGATTCATTTACTGTATTTAGCTGATATGTCTTCTGTTGCTAGGGAAAGAACTCTAGTAGTTCATTAGTTTTCTGTTTTTTCGTTTGTTTGGGCTTCAGCCTTTTTATATACCAAAAAAATAAAAGTAAAATAAGGCTATTCTATTTTGATAAAATATCCACACCCAAGTTCGTAGCTTTGGATTCGTTAGTCTGATAATAATTTTTCTATAAGAGTCCTTTCCTTTTTGGCTGGTTATGGGCAAAGAAGGATTCGAACCCTCGAGGTTTGTATCAACGTGCTCTAATCCTCTGAGCTGTAGGCCACATCCCATCTCTATTGGATATGTTGCTCCGATTAACCTAAAAAGGGAAACCTTTTCTCTTCCCAGTCTTTTCATTTCGGCTTAAATAAGATTGGAAAGCGTCCCAACTAGGGGTGTTAACAGGCCGAGCCGAACTTTGGTCTTAAAAGGTTAAGCCCGTGTTTAAATGTGTCAGTCTGATCAAGCCTGTTACATGTTATGAATATAATTATTGGCCTGTGGTTTGGCTTATTTACAAAAAATGAAAACCTGATTTAGCCTGTTTAAAAAAATAAGACAATAAAAATTTATCCCAACAGAATGTACAATCAACAACACTAGTAATTCTATAAATATTTATAAATTCAATATATATCCAAACAACATAATATAGAACAAAATCATAATCATTCAAAAAGTCTGTTTAACCAATAAAATGAGGTGAAATGGATTGAAGAGAGAGAGGGCTGTTACAAGTAGTATAAAAAATATAAAATAAAAATAAAAGTTAATATACTAAGCCAGCCTGACAGGCTCTAAGGCCGAACTTTTGAATTGAAACTTGAGGACTTTTTATTAAACGAGCTTCTATACAAGTTCAAGCTGGTTTCAACAACTAATTTTAGGCATACAAGCCCATGCCTTCACGAATCGAGCCAAAGACCCCTGAAAGGCCCATGGTTCGTTTATCACCCCTAGCCCCAACCAATTATTTTTTGACTTGTCTACTTTCTATTTTCAATTTCGACGGCAGCTCTCATATGGATAAATAAACGTTGTTATCATGTCTTTGTCACAGGCTTAGGAGTTGCTTAGTTGCTCAATTGCATTATTGCTTATAATTTTCTTTCTGGAGAATAAATTTTTAAAACAAGCTGTTCATAATTCTCATATTATCTGCCGTTATAACATAATTATTCATCTTAATTGGAGGCTTTCATTTCCTCATTTAAACAGCACAAAAAAGAGAGCAAAGTAGTTTGACGTGAACGCATTAAAGGGTGCCATCATATGAGACAGATGTACAACTGTCTATAGTAAGAAATGACCCTACTTATATAATTTAATGTTTTCAATCACCTACCCTTTTGAATTGCAAGATTTGCTAGAGGGATTTGAAGCCATGCTAATGAGTAATGCTGCCCACAAAACCAAATCAGACAATTGTGATGATTTTATAAATCACCAACCACCTAATCTCTTGTTTCAAGCATTTGTCCTTTTTTTTTTGTATTTAATAATTTTATTATGTCAGTATCATTGCTCATATTTATGTTGCCATTGCAAATTGCACCTCCCACTACCTCTTTTAGAAAAATACGGAGTTGATTTATCAATGGTATCTCTGTTAATGGAGCGAACATCATTAAAGGGTAGTGCCCGTGACAAAAAAGAGTTGAACACGCTTCCAGCTATGATATCCTCAAACAAATGGCACTTCTTCATACTGACATTTAAAGAATCCAATTCTGAAGTTATCTTTTGAATGTCTGTTCTAATTATATAGAGATATCTTGAACTGTGGGGGCTCATAGCATTAATCAAATAAGCCAAACATGGGACCAACACATACTTTGGCCCATCAATTCATAACTATGGGGGCTAACAATAACTTTCGTTATCTTGGCCCATGAACACGATTGTACATAGAACTCCCAAATAATGGAAATCCAGCATGAAAGAAGGTAGACCACATACATCTATATGAATTATTATTTGACATGATGGATTAGAATTGTAAAGAACCAATTCAACCCAAAAGCTTAAGCTGTTGTTGGGTGAGGCTACATTAATGGTTTTATATATCTCAACACGCCCCCTCACACGAGAGCCCACTGAACTTGAAGGGTGGACAATGTACAGAACCACCTACCTCCCACCTACCTGTGCGAAGAAAGAAATTCCACTAGAAAGAAAGTGGAGGGCGGTGACGATCGAACCCGGGACACGAGGCTCTGATACCATGTAAAGAACCAATTCAACCCATTAAGTTTTTGGGTTGAATTGGTTTTTTACATGGTATCAGAGCCTCGTGTCCCGGGTTCGATCATCGCCGCCCTCCACTTTCTTTCTAGTGGAATTTCTTTCTTCGCACAGGTATGAGGGGGCGTGTTGAGATATATAAAACCATTAAAAAAACCCTCACCCATCAGCTTAAGCTTTTGGGTTGAATTGATTCTTTACAAAAAATAATGAAACAATTAAACAAGCATCTCAAATTCTGAAAAAAAAATAAAAAATCAGACATTAACTAAGTTGGCTTTATCGCTCAATTAACATGCAACATAAGCTAAGAGTTCTAAGACAATTACAATTGGGAGCGATCATATAGTATAAAAGTTTTACCAAGCATTGATAACAAAAGAAAAAAATGTCAATAACAATGTTGCTGTTTCCTATTGAGATTGCATAGCAGAATGATCATAAAGAAAGACTTGGGGGGCTATCATACCATATATGTCATCCCCACTTGAATGATATTGGTGTGGGGTACTCTCATGTTAGCAGTACCTCCTCTGCAGTTCTTTCTGAGAAATGCATAGAAATAATTTATCACTAATTTCTTAAAGAAAAAAGAGTTCTTCTTTGCCCTCACATTCCCATGTCCGAGCAAATAGGTGCACCCTGATGCTGTTGCTTCTCTAAGGGCTAAAAGCTCATATTCAAGGCTACAATCTTCATATGATGACATATAACTTGATGGTAATGCTGCTACAGCTTCCTGTGAGGTTGAAGTTCCAGTTTCTTCAGAATTTTGACCACGCATCAATGGAATCCTTAGTTCCTCAGCCTCATTACCAGCAGGAAGATCAGAATCCTTGGATTCCAACGAGACACTGTCCATGTCTTCAGTTAAGTTACTTCTTCTCTCCATGGCAATTTCTTGAGCCTCCATTCTCAAGAATTTCTCGAGACTTTCAATAAGAAGTTGCTCAAATGCATGGTGATCTTCCTTCCTTACATCTTTGTAACCATATCTGGCAACACAGCGGAACATATGGTAATCTTTTGGGCAAACTCTTCGAAATAGAAACCTTTCCTCTTGAGGAACCACTGGGATAGGGACATATTTAATGCAGACAAAAACTATGGTAGAGTGAATAGCTGGAAGGCTTAGCAGGAACTGCACAAAAATGGAGGGAATGCCTTGGACAAGCTCATTATATAGCAATCCTATTCCTGGCACTCTTACTGTTCCAAGATTGGAACCAAGATCAAGCATCAAGTCTGTTGAAATCTTCTCCCTAACTTCACTTCTGTACTTTAATACACTACCATAGTTCCATATGTACATCACTGAGAGGAATAAGGTAGCAAAGGCAAGTGGAAGCCATCCCCCCTCAACGATTTTTGATAGGACTGAAGACATGTAAATGAGCTCAATTGATCCAAATACAAGTGGGAAACACAATGCTAAATACAAGTTAGTCTGCCAAATTAAAAGCATTACAAGTGTCACCAAGGTGGTGCTGACCATCATGACAGCAACTTCAGCAATGCCTGCAACAACAATATGAATTGTATCAGTATGGATATACTACAAATGCTCTTCAGTATAAGGCATGTGTGCTGTGTAATTGCAAGTTTGCAACATCATTTGGCCCCTTCCAGTTGTAAATCAACATATTTAGATTCAAGCCATCAAGTATTTAGTGTTGAGGGAGTACTTGGCACCATAATTAGATTAAAACAGCTGGTACTACTATAACTCCTAAAATCAAGGTCAATGCTGTGTGTTTACTTCAACATAAAAACATGAATTTGAGCACAGAAATGTACTAGTTTTCAATATGAATAAGAGAAAAGTCATTACAAGTTAATCAATATCCCTCGGCTTGATTAATTTTTTTTACATAGATTAGAAATCCAGAATATAAGAACGGATGAAATCCTCATATAGTCATTCATTTCATATTATATTTTTAGCAAGCATCCTGATTGTTACCTTTAAACTGAAAAAGAAAAAGAGAAAAAAGAATACTCAGAACATGCAGATGGGGGACACTTTACCATATGCATTTGCAATATCAGTAGTGCTCCGGAAGATGGAAACGACAACTATGCACATGACCATCAGAAACCAATTAATCACAGGGATGTAAATTTGACCCATAAACTTTCTTGAGGTGTGAATTATCTTGAGCCTGGGAAAGCATCCCAAAGCCATAGATTGCTTTATGCATGAAAATGTAGCAGATATCATTGCTTGGCTGGCTATCATAGCAGCTAGTGTGGCTATCACAAACACTGGCCAGAAGAGACTATCTGCTTCACACAAAGCACAGACAGAAGAAGGAAGCAACTTGATTACTATACAGAACAAACATCTCATGTTGTAGATTTAACGACAGTGACTTGTTTGTACAACACAAGCAGTCATTATGTCAGCAAATATCACCTGGAACAGAAGAATAGAATATTGTTGAATAAGAAGTAGGGTTCTTCAGCAAATAAGCAGCTTGGCCCATATAAGCAAGGAGGAGACAGGGAAATACCACGAAAGTAAAAGCAATCTGTATAAGAAATTATATAAGCGACTTAGAGCAAATTCAAAAATTTTAGAAACTTAGTAGTTTACTCTTCAAAAATAAAAAACAACAAAAAATTGAAGTTTCACAAACCTGAATTGATCGTACAGAAAAATGACCCAGATCAGCAAACATTGCTTCTGAACCTGCAGAGGAATATAAGAGCAAGTTGTTTAAGTTGCTGATTTCTTGTCCTAAGGGCTATTTCCACACAACACAAATTTCTTATGTTGAGATATATAAAATCATTAATGTAGCCTCACCCAACATCTTAAGCTTGGGGGTTGAATTGGTTCTTTATATCTCATTTAGATGGACAAGCATGCATTTTCTAAAGGATCAAAATAACTTCCATATCATGTAAAATTTTAAAATTTGATGCTGCAAACAAGAACATGCAGAAGGAAACAACAGAAATGCAAACTTGATATTGAGTAAAATCTTCAAAGAACAAAACCTTCATAAATGTTTCCTAGAAATTAAAAAAATGGTATAAATTAAGTCAAACAAACTATTATTAATGTCCTGATGTGGTTAACCACATAGGCATCATGATTCATAGCCATTCTCCTTTTCTTTAATCTTGTCATAATACATCACTTTGTGTGAGTGGTTGCATCTACTGTATCACAATTATTAATTTCAAGAGCAATCCTATGGAACAAATGAGAAAAAGAAAAAGAAAGAAAGGACAGTATAGCAAACAGACTAATCAGATGAGTGAAGAAGCAAAGGTCATGTTTATGGGATAAGAAAGAAGCTTCAAATTATGTTGCTAAGTAAATAAGTCAATAATTATGCCAATCAATTGCAGTGCTCATGGTTAGAAACCATAAAAGTAATAAATTTTTTTACCTGTAATACACAGAACACAACCACCAAGAGCTGACCATGCATTTTTGCCATTCTTCTTAAAGAAATAATAAATATAAGCGGGATTGATTGCTCCAAGAACGATAATATCATGCTTAACTATATTATAAATTCCAATAGAACCCAGAGAAACGAACCATAAAGCAAGTATAGGGGAAAACATGAAACCCACTTTACTGGTACCAAACCGTTGTATGCTGAACAAAGCCACCAGGACTAGAATTGAAACAATAACCAGTGCATCTGCATGTGAGAAACATAAAAAAGATAAAAAGAAATTAAGCTCTGTTGTGCAAAATTCTATTTTGTTCATTTCCATAGTTCCACAAGATAAATAACACATTGGTTCTACTTAGGCCAAAGCACACCAAGCTCATTAATTGAGAGATATTTCAGAGACTTTGATCTCAAGTGCATTTGCTGCAGAAAATTATAAAAGGATTCATATCTTGCATTGCAATTTTTTTTATTGGAATAAATTACACAGAGTTGTCAAACCAAATCTTATCAAAATGCCACCAAGTTCATTTCTCCTGAAGTACAACCATGAAGGTATATCTACCAGAAAGATAGGAAACAACAGCTACAAGAATTTCCATCTAATGTTAACATGTGAATGAAGCTTTCCTGCATTTTTAATATATGAAATGGAAAGAAAGTGACATGGAATCTCATGACAACCTCACCCACCACCCCAAGATTTGTGAAATTCGTCTTCCTTTTCTTTCACATGTCTACTATTTCTTTCTTTCATCCAGAAAAATAAATGTAAAATTCTTGGAAAGAGAAGGAAAATATACCCACTTGTACCAAATCCGTTTATTTCATCCTGCAGCCCACTTATGGCAGATGTCACTGCAATAAAGAAGCATCATGGTTATACTTACTAGCAAAACAAGCAAATTTATCTTAACATCACAGAGATTTACAATGAGTGCTACAATTAGTATGACAAGTCTAACTCATAGATAACCTGCATACAGTCAAATTTCATACGACAGCCACTGATCATATGATACAAACAAAAAATTTACAAGCTTTCCAATTCTATATAATTAGTCATGTTTATTGCTGTTGAGATATATAGTCCCACATTGGTTGTATGTGCAACTAATGTGGAGTTTATAAGGTCTTGGGCACTCCCACCCTTTGAGCTAGCTTTTGGGGTGGTGTATCCCAAGGTTCTTATCACATTGGTATCAGAGCCGGGTTGGGCTCGATCTAGCCATGTGATTGGCTAGGAGGTGGGTCGAGTACTTTGCGCTTCGGGTACTCGGTTGAGGGGGAGCATACCAATGGTGGGTTTCACACTTGAGGGGGAGATTGTTAGGATATTCAAGTGTGATGAGTCCCACATTGGTTGGTGATGGGCTAAGTGAAGAGTATATAAGTGGAAGGACCCATGAACCCAATGCCTTAAGGTTTTGGGTTGAGACGTGGTGTCGGACCCACTTGGTGTACTCGATGTAGCTTAGCTCATTAGTGGTGGCCCCCCGCCACGGGCTTCCCCTGGACTCGCCTGACATGGTATCAGAGTCTCGCCGCCCCCCACTTTCTCTTGTGGCGTTTCTTAGCACAGGTAGGCTGGGCCTGTTGCATTGTCCACTCTTCAAGCCCAATGGGCTCTCGTGTGAGGGGGCGTGTTGAGATATATAGTCCCACATTGGTTGTATGTGCAACTAATGTGGAGTTTATAAGGTCTTGGGCACTCCCACCCTAGCTTTTGGGATGGTGTATCCCAAGGTTCTTACCACAATTGCTAAACATTTGATCCTTGAATATTCACCTGGTTTTTTAGAGAGCAGAATATGCTATCATAACATGATTTCATGTCAAAAAATTGTATGTTTATGTACCTGATATTGCTGGGGTTAGAATACCATCTCCAATAATCATTGAGGTTCCCAGCAGAACCAGCAGCAACAAAAGGGTTTTCAAAGTTGATTTTCTTTCCAAAACCTCCTTTATGTTTAAAGCCCTTTCAAGTTCTGGAGTTGGTAGTTTGAGCCTAAAGCTAGAGATACGTTCATCAGCTGGTTGACGATTTGGAAGCATATTTACATTTGCATATCTGCAAATCAGCGAGTATAGTGCAAATGTGCCTCCTACATTTGAACCATTAAAGAACAAAAGATGGGGTTTACAATGTATCTTAAATGAACCAAAATAAATCATTCTTAATGGAAAAGAGAATCTGTTACCTTCTCCATTGTCATTTGCTTTGAGGACTACAAAAACATACTTGGCTAATGGAATAAGTGTAATGGTGTACATTACTAATGATAACGCCCCCAAGACATCAACATCTGATTCAACTGAAACCTTGCCGAAGACATCAGCAAAAACATAGAGAGGACTCGTTCCCAGGTCACCGTATACCACACCAAGAGTCTGAAATGCTAAAGCAAGAGTGGGCAAAAGGGAAGCATCCTGATTCACATAAGTACTATAGATTAAAAAGAGTGAGATGGATCTATACGAGCACTATTAAATACATGGTGAAGTGGTAGTTAATACTCTTGGAAAGTGATGAAGCGAATATGTTACCAATCCGTGCATTCAATGTCACATTTTTGCCATCAGATTTGGTCCTTGAAGGACGAAAATAATGAGATTAAGTATGACCAATTTGATTTCACTGATTAATTATGAACTAATGCCATTAATCTTTGGAGGGCCAAAATGGGGTTTCAATAAAGTAGCAATGATTAAGAACACCCCCAATCCTTCTTTAATGACAAATAAATTTAACCAATAGTCAAATTTGGAGCTTTTACTTGAAGTTCAAGGTTCTAGTGCCCAATCAGTTTCCCCTCAATTACACACTGCCAATGTCAAGTCAACCCTCTTAATCAATATACTAAAGTAGTGAAAACATTCAAACAGCAAACACCTCTAAATCAGTGTGTGGGTGATAATCTTTTCGGAATTTTTTTTTTTTTTTTTTTAATTTTTGTTGTTGAGAACAGAAATGGATAGAAAATTTAGTAAAATCAGTTTTTTTTTTTTTTGTTCCCGGAGATAAACCGGTTTAATTTTTATGCTGGGGAACACAAAAAAGAATAAAAAAAATTCAGTTTTTTTGTTCCCAGTCACAGAATAAGAAACATTTGTCTGTCAATTACTCTCCACATCTACCATCACCACCACCACCATCCCGACACGACCACCGCCACCATCGTACAGCCAGTGTCGTCGTCACCACCGCCGCCGCCACCTACACCCATCACTACCATTACTATCACCACTACTACTACCACCACCACTACCATTGTAGCCATATTGTCACCGCCACCATCATTGTAGCCACTATTGTCACCGCCACCACCATCACACCACCTCCATCGCCGCCACTATTGTCACCATTATCACCACCACCACCACCATTGTCACCAACCACCACTATCATCGCCGCAGCTACTGCCGCCACCATCACCATCATGTCATCACTATCACCACGCCACCACCATCACCACCACCATCACCACCACCACCAATGTCGCAGCCACTTCTATCACCACCAACGCCGCAGCCATTGCCATCACCACCCCCACTACCATGCCACCATCATTGCCACCACTACCGCTGTCGCCGCCACCACCACCATTATGCCGAAGTCACCACCACCGCTAAAGCCACCACTACCTCCACCACCATGCCATCACCACCACCACTACCATCACCGTCGCCACCACCACCACCACTACTACCACCACCACGCCACAGCCACAGCCGCCGCCGCCGCCGCCACACTATATGGAAAGGAAAGTGATGATCCAAATTTTTTTTATGTTTAATAAGAATTATTTTTTATTATATTATTTGTTGTGTTATTAAATGTAATTCTCATTCTCAGAATAAAAATATAATATGTTATCAAACACAATTTTTTTTTCTGAGAAACTGAGGCATAGAAGTAGAAAAAAAAAAATCTTTTTAGAAATTTACTTAAACAGAATAGTTGTCATGCACACCCTCAATATACTAGAGTAGTGAAAACATTCAAACATCAAACACAACAACATAACACAGAACAAAAGAGCATCCCCAAATTGCTAAAAATTAGAGCTTGGAATAAAATGATAATAACACTAAGAATAATTAACCTTGAAGTGGTGGTCGTGGCTTCCAGCAATCTCCATGGCTTCAACATCAAAAGAATCAACTCTCTTGGGCTTCTTCATAAGTCTCCTTCTGATTGATCCATACCCCTCTCTACCCTCATTAGACCATGGATGAGCCTCCACAGAGTCCACTTCATTGCCATCAACCCACCTAGACTCGTTACAATTCCCATCATTGCTCCCACTATCCAACGAACTCACGGTGCTCTCTTCAATCCCCTCAGCTTCCATTGTTCCACAACCCCAAAGGCTTGTGTAGTGTGTCAGTGTGTTTTTTTTCTGAAAGTTTTAGACTTTATCAGCAAATGAAAATGTTGACCCTTTTTTTCTGAGACCAAGTTCACCTATTTTGTCTTGTTACCGTTGAATTGCAGTTTTGACAAATGAGAACAAGAAAGGTAGACATCAACCATCAGCAGCTGCTTGCCCAATGGATTTGGTGAAAACACAAACAAATTGTTTGAAAATTGATAAATTATAATTTAACTCAATATAAAAGTAATTTTTGGTTTTTCTACTTATATTTATTTATAATTTGAGATTTAAAATCATATGCTTAAACATGATTTAATCATTTGCTAATAATTTTGTTCAACATATTATAACCCAAAAAACTCAATTTGCATATTTAAAATAAAAATAAGTTATGAATATATGATTCTATGAATCTAAAAAATGACAAAGATGTTGTTTTCAATATACCTCGCCTGTGTTGTTGGTTGTTGGGTCTCTCTTCACGTGTCCTTTTGATTTGTTGGTATTTCCATAGTTTCGTACACTAATTTTAATGCATAGTTTCGAACGTTCGTGTTCTTTCTGCACGATGCTGCTGATTAGTGCTGACTGCTGATCATTAAGGAATTTTATCTTTCATTTGTCAAAAAGAAGAACTGTGTAATATAAAATATTTGTAAAAGTAGCATTAAATTCTTTAATGTTGAATGTGTATAATAAAAAGAAGAAGAAGAAAATCTTGACATTTAATAAAGGATGTAACGTTTCTAGGACATAAATTTATCTCTCTTATATATATATATATATATATATATATATATATATATATATATAGAAGTGTGTGGAGTCATCTCTCTTATCCTCACATGAGCTCCACATACTTCTATGTTAGATAAATTTATTTCCTGCGATATGAGAAATATTAAATATTTTAATAAAATAAATGAAAATATAGATTTATTCAATAATTTATGGGTTTGTTTTTTCTGATGTTACTTTAGATAACTTTCTCTAATGTTCATCAAAACGACGTCGTTTTGGGACGGAAATCATGGTATTTTTGTAATTTTAATTTATTTCAGAGTTATGATAGTCTTTATCACTCTAATTTTTTAATTTTTCAACCCCAAAACGACGTCGTTTCGATGAACATTAGATAAAGTTATCTAAAGTAACATCGGAAACTTTTTTCCCATAATTTAAATAGAGAAAGAATCTCTATGTAGAGTAAAAATTATACAGTATTAAGTGACCTTCTATACATCAAATATTTTATTTATTCTTTTATTGGTTGATGTTTAATACATACCAGTTTTATAAAGCATTAAGTGACCTTCTATAAATCATTTCTAATAATGGAAATGTTAAATGGCACGAATGAGAATGTACGAAACATTTTATGAATTTTTAACTACAGTTGGATTGTGATTTTCATTTTCATTTATAATTTTAGAAGAACAAAAAAGCAAACTAGTTATGCATTTATTGTACCACGTAATTTATAAATAGTTTTGTGATTTTATTTTTTTAATGAATATCAATATTCTTTTAAATAGTAAAATGCTATTGAATATTAATTGAGTTTTTATATAAACCCTTGATCTTTCCTTGAGCACATAGAAAAGGTAAAAGCATCTGTTTACCGAAAAAAAAAAAAAAAAAAAGAAGGTAAAAGCATCCAAAAAAATAAAATAAAAAAGAACACAAAAAGGTAAAACCGTGAAGGGCTCTACTTGGATTGAGAGAAATCTGGGCTTAAAAGTTTTGACTCAGTTGACAATCTTTTATGGGTTTTGCATGTTTGGTGTGTGCTGTTTGTTGCAGGATTTTATAAAGAGAAAAATATTTGTCATTTTAAATGATATAATTTGTGTCATTTTACTCTCATAAAAAGGTGAGATCCACACCTTTATTTTATTTTTTTTTGTCCATACTCTCTTCCTCTTTATCTATCTATTTCTTTCACTTAAAATGACACAAATTTATATTCTTTAAAATGATACACATTTTTCTCTTTTATAAAATCTTTTATTATTGGGTTTAGTGAGTGTTCTTTTAAAGGATAAAAATTATATTTTTTTAACAGTTTTAACTATGTATTTTTGAGAATATATAATTATAATATTAAAATTATACTTTTTTTCTCTCTTCAGAAGTTGTTTGGTGATGTGGAAAGTAAAAAAATTATAATTTTAATATTATAACTATGCATTCCCCTAATGCATAGTTAAAAATTGTTTAAAAGACATAAGCTTGTATTATTTAAAAATCATTTAAAATGACACTCTTTTTTTCTTTATTATTAGATATTTATTATCAAATTTTAATGATATTATTATTTTTAAGCTTATTTTTTAATATATTCAAAATCTAATAAATTTTTTAAATATTAAAGTTAAATCTTTTATAAACAGTATAGTTCATATATTTTTAATAATATTATTTAAAATTAATTATTAGAGTCAGGAATAAAATTATCTCTTAGAATTAATATTATATTTTATAATCTCTCTCCTTATTAACATAAGAATATACTATTTTCTTTTCCTATGATTTACTATAATTTCGTATTCACAGTCGCATTCATTTGCTAATTTCTTACTTGGATCTTTCTTAACAATGAAAAAATCCATAGACTCGTCTAAGGGAAGATGGCAACTTGGTGTTCTCAAATGACACTAACATATACCTTCAATTTTTCCCTATTAAGTTGTAGAATGGTTTTGAAGTCTGGATACTATTCCCATTGTTTATATTTTTCTTATTGAGTTCCATTTTTTTTTTGTTATGTTGGCGGAAAGGTTTACTTGCCACAGACACATATTTATCAGAATTTGCAAGTGGATCCTCTTTTTTTAGGGTCCTTTTTTTTGTTGCAATTTTTTTTTTTTGCAACCACCGATTATAACTATGTATTTTTTGGGAATACATAATTATAATCTTAAAGATATTTTTTTTTCTCTCTTTCGAAGTTGTCTATTGACGTAGAGAATTTTTTTTTCTGATTATAACTATATATTTCAGGAAATACATAATTATAATTGGTTGGTGCAATTTTTTTCCAGCAACATAAGAATTACATTTCCCTTTTTATTAAGTCACGAAAGCAGAAACCTCATACTATCATTAAATTTTGAACAATTATTTAATCAGATATATATTTTTTAAAGGGATAAGATATTCTATTTATTTATTTTTTCACACCTACCTTACTTACTCATTTTCAATATCGTTAGATCAGAGTTTCAACTAACTTCACTTAAAAAAAAAATTTAATATATGTTACATCATGTTATTGTATAATTAGAGTGTAACAATTTAGTGTTGCATTTCATCATCATTAAAGATAGTGGCAGCAAAAAAATATTAACTCGTACCAAAAATTTACCGCAAAAGCAAATTCTAAAAGTTTGAAAACTAGTTAGTGCCACCAAATGATGGTAACTTAGTTGGTGTTAGGGAACTGAGTAAGTAAGGATGATAGTATGTATTCGATCTTCCTCATTACCATCATTGAGAGATGTTTACAATTTTAATTTCAAGACTCACTCCAAATCAAACTAATCGTGAAATAACGAACTAATTGAAATATTTCAAGAAAAAAAAAAAAAAAACCTAGCCAGCCCCAATGGGCTCTCATTACAGACCTGTTCCTGATTCATCCTCGTAGCATTAAAAAATTTGTAGACCAAAATAGTCTGTGCTCAGTAGCCTCTTTTTTATGGTTTCATGACATAGAATTCGTTATGAATTAACTATCCAAAATCCTTAATTATAAGGCAAAATCTGGTGAATATTTTTATATGTCTAAAACATCAAGAGTATTCCGAATTTCAAAAGTAAAAAAAAAATGCATAATCCAATCAGAGTATCAAAATATAAATAACAAAAATTAAACTCCTAACCACGTGATAAAAAGGCTTGGATATCATAAATTGTTATGGACGAATTAATACATAAATAAATGATTTTATTAATTAATCATTGATTTTATATAGGGCAATACTTTTCATAGAAAAGTTTTGTTTCCATAACTAACAAAAAAATATGAAACTCACAAATTAAAGAAAAATAAAAAAGGAAAGAAAATGCAAACACGTATTTTTATATATCTGTGATATAAGAGAAAACAATTTCCCTTTTATGTATAACAGCTACCACTAAATGTTGATAACGATGGTTTGCATGCCCAAGATGTGGGTGGCGGCGACATTAAGCATCAAAGGCAATTATTTATTTTTTTGGTAGATATTACGAGACATAATTAGATACTCAAAACTTACTACAATCTCCTAGCCATTCCGTACAAAAATATTCTTTAGATACTCATGGCCCACACAACCTTGTATATAATATTGAATGGTTTGCCCATAGTAATCAAGGCAATCAATTTAGGTTTTCATTTCAATTCGTATATTGATTAATCAAGTATCAAAGTAATTTACATATATTCAACTAATAAAATAATAATTAAATTAGTTAAATACTTGATTAATCAAAACATAAGAACGAATTAGTTGCATACGTAGGATGAGATCATGCATACGGAAGCTCCCTGCCAGAACAAGGCTGAATGTGAGGCGACAAGAGAGAATTCCTCTTCAATGGAAATTGGGGAAGTTGGGCTTTGATGATTGCTTTATTCAAGAAGCTGTTGGTTTTCACTTTTCATGTATATATATATATATATATATATATATATGGGAGCATCTAATCTCATGTTGTAGGAGATACTCCTCTCATGTCATAGACCCAACACATGGTAGGTCTTACCATGTGTTAAAAAATAAAAAATAAACAAATAAAAGACACGTTTGTTGATGTATTTACAACATAAGATAATTCTCTCCTATTACATGAGAGAATAATTTCCCTATATATATATAGGGAATTGCTTTTGTTATGTAACATAACCTAAAAGCAAATTTCCTACTCTCACAAAAGGAGGAGAGATGAGAGAGAATAGGAAAAAGAGAAAAAATTTAAAGTGAGTCCCATATAAATTTGTGTGTGTAGGAAGATGCTTTTAGGTTATGTTACATAATAAAAACAATTCTCATATATATATATATATATATATATATATATATATATATATATATATGGGTGCATTGGAAAATAAACGATGTTAATAAGATTCAGGTGTTGGAAAACCCCCACAAATTTGTCCATACCAAGATCTCTTGGAAGGTGGCCTATAAAGAAGAACTCTTCACTTTTGTCGTGGATGTCAACCCAAGAAGAGTGGAAAGAATGCATCCCTGGAGCAATCTTGCAAGGATTCATTCTTCTTCATCTGATCCTTGGGGGGTGGTTGGAGTCGAGAGTTGTTTCTAATGGGTTGGAAGATTTTAATTTAGGAAGATCAACTCTCTGGGCATTCCCTAAGATTGGAGAGTCAAACTAGGGATAAGTTTGGAGACCCTCCATCGGTTGAAGAAGTCAAGAGAACCATCTTCCATATGAGCCCGTTTAAAGCACCTGGCATAGATGGTTTGCATGCGATAATTTTTTCAATCCCAATGGGAAACAATTGGGAAATCTGTAATTAAGCTCATGGAAGGTATTTTCATGAATCCACACAAAAAACCACTCCCCGTTAAACCCGACTAGCGAGTGTGAGATGGAGGAAATCTTTGTACGCAACATTACCCTTGCATAGTTGCAAAGAGGCTGTTTCATGAATCCACACAATGTTTGGGATATTAATAAAAGTCTCTTGTGCCTCTTCCCAAAGATTGATACTCTTGAATCTATGAAGGGCTTGAGATCGATCAACCTTTGTATTGTGACATACAAGCTGATTAGCTAACAGACTCTAAATACACATGGATAAATTGGTGATGCCAAACCAATGTAGGTTTGTGAAAGGAAAACACAATACGGAACATTGTTATTACGCAAGAGGTTATTCACACTATGAGAACCAAAAAGATCAAAAGGGGTACGTGGAGATTAAGGTGGACTTGGAGAAAGCCTATGACATAATTGGTTGTGATTTCCTCGAGGACACTCTCAATGACATTGGCCTCCCTGGTAGGCGGTAGCTTAGTCCAATTGATCATGGCTTGTCAGTGGCGGAGCCAGTATGACATGTAAGCAAGTGTCAAAAAATTTCAGCTAGTGCCCAAATAGCCACGGTTGTATGGTTACGACCAAAACGTGGCTAATTTTCAAAAAAATTGAAACAGAATTTACTACATTTCAAGTATAGCTAAACGAACGTGGCTAAATAAGCCAGTGCCAAGGCAACCGCTAGCTTCAACGTGGCTCCGCCACTGTGGCTTGTGTTAGTAGTTGCTCAATGAATATTCTTTGGAATTAGTCAACCCTTTTGCCTAATCCAAAGTGAAGCATGTCTCCATGTAGTTAGGGACTGTGGCTGGGCTAAAGATTTTTGGAGACAAGCTATCAAACCAGAGTTTTTTGAAAAATTCTTCGCCTTAAATATGGAGGAGTGGATACTTTGGAATTTTTCAAAAGTCCCCATTTACATCCGGAAAATTTGGATTGAGGGTGATTCCTTGTCTGCTAGAGATCTCATCATAGAGGGCTGTGATTCTTTGAATAGAACAACCTCATAAAGCCGCTAATCATACTGTGAGGGGGAACTAACTCAGGAACTGGTGGATTAAAGTTTCTCGTACATACAGAGAAGGAAACGGAGTAGGAGGCTGGCTAGCCTTGATGGTTGCAGATTTTTTAAATCCCCCTGATGGTTGCAGTCCACTGTTGCAGAGACCTTGCCAGTATTGGCTTGCCAAAAGCTGTCCTAGACAGCAGTCCCTAGTTTCTTTTTTTTTTTTCCTGTTTGTTTGTTCTGTTTTCATGTAGTTTCCAAAAAAAAAGAATAAATTTAAATTTCAAATAGATACAAGGGGAAGGATATTATGACAACCAAGTTGTGTTACTACCAAGTGACTACCAATCAATCTTACCGTTATATCGATTATGTTGATCCAACGGTTATATTTATTTTCATCTTTGTATGGTCATGATTCCCCAAATTTAATACTTTATATTTATTTTCACCTTTGTATGGTTATGATTTCCCATATTTAATGCTTTCACTTTAAATATGGGAAATCATAACCATACAAAGATGAAAATAAATATAACCGTTGGATCAACATAATCGATCTAACGGTGAGATTGATTGGTAGTCACTTGGTAGTAACACAACTTGGTTGTCACAATATCCTTCGACTAGATACAAAAGCAAAAACTTATGCAATAACCAAAAAGTCTTCTTGACTGCTAACCAAAGTACCATATTGTCAACAATGTTTACGAGGAAAGTAACTAGCAACTAAATCCATCATCTACAACTCATTTCATGAAATAAAAGTTACTCTTCAATGTCAACTTGAAGCTTAACTTATTCCATGGTTCATTGACATGTGGATCATTCAATGGGTGCTCCTTCAATCCCATAAAAATATTCTCAATTTGCTTTAGAACCAATCGCCCTCTTAGCAAAAGATGGCAAGCAGAAAGCCGCAGTATGAATCTGAAATAAAGAGCATAGACATAATATAACCAAAAGTTAAGATAAGAATTAACAGTCCATTAAAGAAAAGGAGAAAACTAAAAATCAATTGGAGTTGAAAAACCCTGCAGGGGAGTTTGGGGGAAAGGAAAAGACAAACATGGTTGGAGCAGAAGCAAACCTCAGAGTTGTAAAATTTCAATGGTCTTTCTGACTGCTGACTATCATTCTCATCTATAGGATTCACTGGATGCTTGAAATCAACAGGAGGCCCCTCAGTTGAGCAAAGCATAAAACCAATCATCCCACTGAAATGATTAAAAAAAAAAACATAAGCATGAACAATCAAATATATATTCTAACCATCCCTAAGCCAAAGGCACATATATAAAAGCACGTTATATTAACTGAATATTGTCATCATGTCATGTGGAATACACAACCTACCCACCCTCCTAGAGGATACCTAAAAAATAGAGGATGACTTCTGAATTGGCATAAAATATAAATAACCGGAGGAAAAATTCGAACTTCACTAGATGAGAGGAACGTGAGCCACACGCGCGCGACTTATTCTATCTCTCCTAGGGTTCCTTCCATGGCATCCCTGCGAGAGAAAACCAGCGGTAATCCGACTTTCCCTAATGAAGCACCTGAAATCCTCAGAAGAAGTGTGAAGAGATCCAAAGATGGAGAAGAGTTCATCTCCGACTCCTCTAACCGTAGAGCTGGTCTGGGCAGCTTGCATAACTCCCCTGTTGGTGGGAAGTTAAAATCTTTCGCTGAAGCTCTTAATCAGAAGACACCATCCTGGGAGTCGATTCAACTTGGACAGAGGACCTAACAGATGAAACATGCACCCCTCTGGACCCCAGCTTAGGAGAAATATCCGAATAGGGGTTTCAGACAATCTATGAGAAGGATGGATCTGTAAGGATCCGCTGTACAAAGGAAGCAAAACAAAGAATGAGGGAACCGTGGAAAAATGCTCTTATAGTAAAGCTACTTGGGAAGAAAGTGGGGGTTACCTTCATGAATAATAGGCTGGAGAATCTGTGGGCAAAGCACGGTACCATTGTGGTGGCGGATTTAGGAAATGATTTCTTTTCAGTCAAATTTGCGAATCTGGATGACCTTAACCTTGCAATAACAGGCGGACCGTGGGTCTTACTTGGGCATTACCAGGCAATTAGAAAGTGGGAGCCTTGCTTCAACCTAGACAAGGCCAATATCCACAAGGTTGCAGCCTGGATTCGTCTCCCAGGAGTTCCTCAAGAATACTGTGAGTATCCCTTTCTCCTTCATCTTGGTAATGTTGTAGGTAATGTCCTCAAGGTGGACAAAACCACCTCCACTATTGATAGGTGTAAATTTGCAAGATTATGTGTAGACCTGAACCTCTCAAAACCTTTGAGAGGAGAGTATATCATAGAAGATGAAACACTCAGGGTGGAATATGAAAGATTATTCCTTATATGTCTTCACTGTGGGCGGTATGGACATAACGTTGACTCTTGCCCAGATTTAATTAGAGCTAGACTTGTCACCAACAACTGTGATATGGTGGAGAAGGAGCCAGAAATAAAAACAAATAATCAAGGACTTGGTCCTTGGATGATAGTTCAGAAGAAGAAAAAGCAGCAACCCCTGGTGCCTAAAAAGGACTCCAGGAGCTTTGGGACCAACATATCTAATAGGGCAACTACTCAAGGTCAAAAATTTGAGACTAACAAAGCAAGAGGGAAGAAAGCCTCAAGCGCTACTCACAACAGGGACTCGAATTTGAAGGGCAGTGAAATTAACAAGGAGAATTTGGTGAGCTCTCCTCCTAGCTCTGGGAAGAAGATGTCTGGTGTGCATCCTGCTTCAACATCTAACACAGCCTGTAATGCTATAAATGGCAGTGGTTCTTATGCTTTCCCCTTGATGAATTTTTCTGTTGTGACTCCCAAACCCACAAAGAAAAGTACTAGATCAGGTCCAACCCCTGTGATGGTGTTCTCCAAGAAAGTCCTCTCCAGCCCACCACCGAACAAAGAGAAGGGAATCCTATCCCAAACTCAGCCTACTATCCCCTTAGGGATTAATGAGAAAGTCCAAGCCACACCTCAGGAGCATGGTAAAAACAGCACTGAGAAAAAGATAGATGCAGTGAACAATGACCTCATTGCAACCATCCAACACCTAGATGTTATGAACTGCTCTGATTCTGCAAGCATTAATCTCAATGCAGAAACCATGGCTTGTGATGTGTTGATCTCAGAACCAGAACCCCCTGATCTAGATATGAAGGAAGTTTCCAAAGATATGGAGAATCAAATTGGCATGGAGGTAGACACCTCTCCTCAAGTAGACCAATCTGGAAGCACAATGGATTTTTCTGTTGTTGACAGTGTAAATGTGAATGGTGAGTCTTCGAAGACTGTTGTAGAAGAACATGATCAAAGTGGGAAGAACTTTGTAATCTTGCAACAACCCAAACTGTCTTAATGAATGTACTAACTTGGAATTGTAGAGGTGCTGCGAAAAAGCCTTTTAAGAGCACCTTTAATAGATTTCGCAAAAAGAATAAGGTTGGTGTGGCTGCCATCTTGGAGCATCGAGTTAGTGGTAGAAAGGCCATAGACATTATTCGTAGTCTAGGGTACTCAAACTACCTGATTGCTGATGCCACTGGTTTTGCGGGTGGCATTTGGATTGTTTGGGATCCAGATGTTCTAAAGGTGACCCTTCTTGTGAAGCATGAACAATACATTCACTGCAGGGTTGAGTTAGAGGATAATAAACAGTTTTGCTGGACTGCTGTATATGCCAATCCCCATGAGAATAAGCGTAATTTACTTTGGGAGGAACTGAAGCATATTGGTAGGACTATGAATGATCTGTGGCTCATCTCCGGGGATTTCAATGAGATAGCTTCAGCAGACGAAAAGAGAGGAGGTAGCCCTGTAGATGTCAACCGCTGTAATCACTTTGCTGATGTTCTTAGTGCATGTGGAGTTATGGACCTGGGAGGTAGTGGAAACAGGTTTACTTGGAAAGGTCCAAAATTCCTGGGACTAGACCGTGTTTACAAAAGATTGGATAGAGCTGTTGCTAATGATACCTGGAGAGCCACCTTTGATGAAGCTGATGCCATTACTCTTTTCTGACCATTGCCCCATTCTGGTCAGAATGGAGAAAGAGGAACAGTGCTAGAGAGAACGCCCATTCAGATTCCTGGCTACTTGGCAGAATGACCCCAGATTCTGCTCTTTCATTCAATCTAACTGGAATCCTTACTCTAGCCTGGTAGACAGTCTTTATTCATTTATTCCCCTTCTAAAAGAATGGAACAGAGATGTGTTTGGATTCACTCATCATAGGAAGAATCGAGTGATAGCTCGGATTGAAGGTATTCAAAAGAGACTCGGGTTCCAAAGTGGTCACCACCTAGAGGAGCTTGAGGCCAATTTGAAGAAGGAGGAACAGATTTGGTATCAAAAATCGAGAGGGGATTGGATTAGAGATGGGGATAGAAATACTCGATTCTACCATACCAAGACCCTTATCAGAAGAAACAGAAACAAGATTGTGAAACTCCAAAATGAGCTTGGTCACTGGGTGAAAGGGGAGGAGGAATTGATTGATCTGGCCCGTTCTTTCTTTATTAATCTCTTCAAGGAGGACATTTGTGATAGAGTTTAGTTTCAAACCAATTCTACTTAGTCTGCTCTTTTGAATAACCAATCTAAGTTACTCTCTTAATATTTCCATGGAAGAGGTGAAGAGGGCTTTTTTTCAAATGGCGCCCCTAAAAGCTCCTGGTCCTGATGGCTTCCCAGCTCTATTCTTCCAGAGAAATTGGAATCTCTTCAAATCTCAAATTTTTAGCAGCATGGTATATTATCTTCACAATCCAGAACACATTAGAGATATCAATCACACCCTCATTGCTCTTATCCCGAAGATTGATAGACCTTGCCTAATGAAGCAATTTCGTCCTATAGCCCTCTGCAATTCAGTTTACAAGGGTCTTAGCAAAATCCTTGCCAACAAAATAAAACCTCTCCTGGGGAATTTAATTGCTCCAAATCAGGTTAGTTTTGTTCCCAAGAGGCATATCCAAGACAACATTATTATTGCTCAAGAACTTGTGCACTCAATGCATAGAATGAAAGGCAAGAAAAGCTTCTTTTCCATCAAGATAGATCTTGAAAAAGCTTATGACAAGCTCAACTGGGACTTTATCAGATTGGTGCTTTGTGACCTGAAATTACCAATTGAATTGGTGGAGGCCATCATGGGATGTGTGACTAGTCCCTATATGGAAGTTCTCTTGAATGGTGCAAGGACATCTGGGTTCAATTCTCAAGGAGGAATAAGACAAGGGGACCCAATCTCCCCTTACCTTTTTGTTCTCTGCTTGGAGAAACTCACCCATCTAATCATGGATGAAGTTGACAAGAAGAATTGGCTACCTATCAAAGCTGGTAAAAATGGGCCATTGATATTCCATTTAATGTTTGCTGATGACATTATACTTTTTGCCGAAGCTTCAACTGATCAGTTAACATCTATCAGCCAGTGCCTGGAGAAGTTTGCAAAAATGTCTGGTCAATGTGTGAGTATTGATAAGTCTTGTATCTATTTCTCGAAGAATGTCCCTATGGTGGTTGCGGATGAAATAGCTTCTATCAGTGGTCTCAAGAGGGTTACCAATCTTGGCCGCTACTTGGGCTTCCTAACGAGACATGGAAGAATTAAAAAAGATCACTATGCAGATGTCATCTCTAGAGTGCAGAACCGACTCCATGGGTGGAAATCTAAGTGCCTATCTCTAGCTGGTAGGATTACTCTTGCTAAGAGTGTCATATCAGTCATTCCCTGCTTCCATATGCAGAACAATGTTCTCCCAGCTCATGTTTGCCAAGACATAGAAAAAATCCCGCGAGGCTTTATTTGGGGTGACTCAGATGTAAAACGCAAAGCCCATTATATTGCTTGGGATCAAATGTGTGCTCCCAAACAGAATGGTGGCCTTGGAATCATCAATCTCAGAATCCAGAATGAAGCATTTCTGCACAAAATAGTACGGCAACTGATCACAAATCAGAATAGCCTTTGGGCTCAGGTTCTCATTGGAAAATATGGCAGAAAATGTGACCCAAACCGCAGCCTTATTGCCAAGAATAGTGATTACTCTTTTTGGAAAAACATTTGCAAAGTCAGAGGTAAGATGGCTCAATATTTAGAATGGGAAATTGGAAATGGTGAGACTGTTTTCTTCTGGACAGACAGCTAGGGAGGTTGGCAAGACATCTTATTC